TGGTGTTGGTGATGGAGATGGTGTTGGTGATGGAGATGGTGTTGGTGATGGAGATGGTGTTGGTGATGGAGATGGTGGTGCTGGAGATGGTGGTGTTGGTGATGGAGATGGTGTTGGTGATGGAGATGGTATTGGTGATGGAGATGTTGTTGGTGCTGGAGATGGTGGTGATGGAGATGGTGTTGGTGATGGATATAATGGTGTTGGTGATGAAGATGGTGGTGGTGCACTATCTAGGTGCTGCATAGCCACATTGCCTTCTGAATGCCTTTTAAAATTAATTATGCTATCCTCCCAGGAAAATTTAATAGCACAGATAGACTATATGTGGTCTCTGTTTGTCTACATGTATATTTGTATCTAAACATGAAAGAGTAAGGTTTTTTTAAAAAATATGTTCTTGAGAAATGACTTTGATCCTTCATGGAGGAGGTATTACCTCCTCTTAGTTTGGTACTGGGGATTGAGCCACGGAGCCACATCCCCAGCTCTTCTTTTGTTTTGAGATTTTGAGACAGGGTCTTGCTAAGCTGCCTGAGGCCTCACTAAGTTGCTGAGACTGGCCTCAAGCTTGTGATCCTTCGGCCTCAGCCTCCCAGGTCTCTGGGATGATAGGTGTCCCCACCACACCTGGCTGACATCACCCCTTCTGGGAGTGAATGTTTTATGTAAGTCTCTGAAAACCTGCTGGACTACCTTTATAATTAAAAAGAAGTGAAGATAGGAAAAAAATCTGCGTCTCCCTCAGTTCCTGGAGATTGCTGTTTTGAACTGATTTTCAGGCCTTTCTTTGGGGTCTGCTACTTAGGAACGCTGTGCTCCTCGGGAGGTGTCAGGATTCCACCCTCTTTCATGTTTCCTGTGTCCCTTGGTTGATGTCTGTGCACCTCATGAAGCAGTCCTCCTTCTCCTGCTGTGGACTAAGGTCAGGCTAATGGACTTTCCCCTTTAGAGGGTCCTAGGGTGTCGGCTGGGGAGCGTTCTTTGGCTTTGGGTCTGGGTGGGTGAAGTGGTATAGTGTCCATTAGGTTCTTCAGCTGTGGTCAGTGTCAGTGGCTCTCAGAGGCCAAGATGGAGTGTGGGGCACCTCCAAAGGCACGCACCTCTAAGTCCTGGTGCACCCCGGGGATGGAAGGCACTGTGGTCTGGCCCAGTAGTGCCATGACTCGGGCTCTTCCCTCGCTCGGGAAACAAGGTGTGGCCCTAGGAGTAGGCAGCACCCAGAGGGGTTGAGCTACACTCACCTGTTCCTTTGCAATCCAACCCCTTTGCCCTTTTGGGGATGGAATGTTCCTTGGAACCTCCCCTCGTGTGTCCCCTACATAAGAAGAAGGAACCCCGGTGGCTCTCTCTCTTTCCAAGGGCCCTTAAGGTCGTGGATTATTGAGAAGGTCATTCTGTGTGGTTAGGCGCTTTCTCTGTCGTTTTCTTGGGTTACTGGAAGAGTCAGATTTTGTGAACCCAGCGTTAGGTCGCCAGCAGGGACAGACGGCGACGGTGGTGGGTGTTTGTGGAGATGGTGCAGCTGAGCTGGGGAGGGGTCCCACCTTGGCTGGTCCAGTGTGCAAGCAAGAAAAACATTTCTGAACTCGAAGACAGGTCTTTTGAACATGTCAGACCACCCCCCCATCACCACCACCACCAAAAAAATGCTATGCAGCTTATGGGACATCATCATGGGAACGGACATTGGTATTTGGGGAGCTCAGAAGGAAAAATGGTGGGAAAAGCCACGGAAAATGCATTTAAAGAAATAACAGCTGAAAAGTCCCAGTTCTTGGGAAATGTATGGACATGCAGGTCTACGGAGCTCAAGGGTCCCCAGACGGACTCAGCCTACAGAGGTCTTTCCCGAGGCAACAGTCAAAGCCGGAGAGAGTTCTAAAGGCAGACGAGGGAAGCCTGAAGTCTTCTGCCAGAGAATCCCTGTTGGACCCTCAGCAGATGGCTCGGCAGAAGTGCTTTAGGCTGGGGGAGCAGGGGAGGATATTCTAATCTCTGAAAGGAAAAAGCCATCAGCTCAGAGAACCCAGCTCAGCAAAGCAGAAGTGAAAGAGAAATAAATCCCTCCAACAAGCGAAGGCCGAGGGGATTCATCACCACACCCTCCAGCAATGCTTCAGGGAGCGCTGTGACCGGGAGCGAAAGGACAGCAAGTCCCGCCACCAGGACACGTGATGGTACAAAGCTCCCTGGTAGAGGCAGATCCCCAGCATCCACCAAATGCTGGCCTATTGTGTTACTTTGTGTATTTCAAAACAACTAAAGAAGAGCATTTGAAATGTCTCGGCAGAGGCCCCGATTGATCACTACACGATGTGCACGGGCATCACACGCATGCAGCGGCCCACAGATGCGTGCTCTACCGGGTGCCAATTAAAGCCAGATAAGGCTGAGAAAACCCTAACAAGAAGGCAGAGGCCAGGCGCTGTCAGGAGAGGCGCCCTGAGGGGCGTGGAGGGTGCCTGGCCTCAGCCAGGCTCCCATCTGTTGGCTGACCCTGCTTCTGTGAGTCCAGCCCTGGGGCAGCTCTGCAGGTTTGGGGGTTCATGGTGCTTTTCTTTCCCCTCTCCACAGGGCACTGTGTCACCCACGGCTGGGACATGACCACAGTGGAGCAAAAGACCACACTGGAGCAGAAAAGTGGTACGTTGGCTGGAGGGAACCGGCAGGCCCATGTGACTGGAGAGATCTTTTTGTCCCCAGGGGCTGAGCCTCATCTGGACCCTTTTTGGAAGGGAATCAGGGGCCTAAGGAGGGCTAATATGCAGATATCCAGATCTGGGCTCCAGGTTCTTTCTTTTGTGTCCTGAAATTGCTGTGTGACCTCAGGAAAGTCCCATTACCTCTCAGTGTCTCAGCACAGGTAATGAGTTTCCTATCCCGAGGGTGAGGGGCGTGAAGCTGCTCCACCCGTAGGTACTTCCTACACCACAGCGTCCTGAAAACTCTCAGTCCTCCAGTCCTGGCTCTTGAAATATTAATAGGACCTAAGACTTTTTCTTTTTCGCCGCAGTTCTTTGCTTTCTAGACTACCGCCTACCGCGGCCTGTGATTCAGAGGTCTGCATTACTGTTTGGCTGTTCCTCTACTTCCACTGAGATGAGCACCCGGGACAGTCAACTGATAAGGGAAAGGCTTATTTTGGCTAGAGCTCTCAGCCCACGATTGGTTGGCCTGGCTTTGGGCTGGTTGTGGCAACTCCTGGAGGGCTCCAGAAGTGGCTCAGCGCACGGCTGGGAGCAAAGGAGGAAAAGAGAAAGAGGAAGAGGCTGGGGTCTCAGAGTCCCCTTCAAGGGCACAGCCCCGACACCCAAAGTCCTCCCTCCAGGCTCCACCTCCTCAAGTTCCCTCTCTCCCTCCTCCTCCTCCCTCTCTCCTTCTCCTCCTCCTTCCTCTCTTCCTCTTCTTCCTCTCCCCTCCTCTCCACCTTCTCCTCCCTCTTCTCTTCCTCCC